AATGCTTCATTGAACTCAAAAGAGCAAGGAAATTGCCTCTGAAGCTGATGAACACAGTCAAGCCACTGCAGAAACACTGGGCAACGTTCATTCAGATCATCTGAGTTCTCCCCATGACCACACCGGTCAGCAAACTTGTGGCCAAAATCCAGCCACTCCATCTCCACCAGGACCTGGAAACCCTGTAAGAAAGCACCCAAGAGAAACCATTTGTGCTTGTCTATCATCCAGATTGTGATAGTCCTGAGCCTGGTGTCACTAGCAGTGAATCCTTTTAACAGCCTCCCACTAAGCCCACCAGAAGAAAGCCCAGATCCAACCTCAAGGCCAAAGGCTCCATTCCTGATGACACACATGTTTAAGCCAATTTTCCCATTCTCAAAACTCCATTCCATAATCATCAAAGGGGTACTAAGCATTTACCTAAGCCCTTCTTGAGTTAATGTAGTATACATTTTTGGCCTTTTCACTTACTATATACGAAAGTCACTTTTTTCTAAGTTTCTTTTTTTTAAAATATGTCTTTTATGTTATTCTTACCAAGTCATGTATGGAAAACCTTTCCTAACCCCTAACTGACACATACTGGTTTGGCCAAAAAGCTTGTTTGGTGTTTTCGCTAAGATGGCTCTAGTAGTGCTCAGCTGTCTTTAACTTCTTTCAGAACAACTTTGTTTGACTGTATGCAAAGTTGTCATATCAGTGTGCATTAAAAAATAAACATCAAAATTGGTGAATTTTGTATAGCCATTTTAATATTGAAGATGGATGAAAATACACAACATTTTCAACATATCATGCTTTATTATTTCAGGAAACATAAAAGTGCAACTGAAATGCAAAAAAAAAAAAAAAAAAAATCTGCAGTGTATGGAGAAGATGCCGTGACTGATAAATGTGTTTAAAGTGTTTTTGTGAAGTTTCATGCTGGAGATTTCTCACTGGATGATGCTCCATGGTTGGGTAGAAATCAATAGTGATCAAATTGAGACATTAACTGAGATCAATCAACATTATACCGCATAGGAGACAGCCGACATACTCAAAATATTCAAATCAATAAAGTTATTGGTGAAAAGTTATTTTACAGAAAAAACTAAATAGACTTTTGAGCCAAGTCAATATTTTTAGCATACATTTATGGATTTTCTTACTTCTTTAACCCAACAGGTGGTTATTTCGAGTATAACCAGAATGGTCTGTGGCAATATCTACAACCATAATAAGTATACCAAGATCCTTCTACAGAAGTCCCATTTTCCTGGGCTAGCCCAAACATTTCCAAGTAGGCAGACTACACAGGAAAATATGTCTGTATTCTCAATACTTTGTTATCCACAATCTGCCCAATTTACAAGGCAAAAACTGTGTGGTAGGCATTGCCAAATTTAGCACAAAATAAAGGACCAATGATTTAAAAACAAGAAAATTTTGCTTTCATTAGACCTAACCAGATGACCAAAACTAATCATAAACCCCTCCAACTTTTCCCCTACTCACCCTGAATTACCAAATCCTACTCCCTGGATTGCACCCACCTCTATGGTTCGGTAGTAAGGGTCCAGCAAGAGCTTAGCCAATGCCACAATCTGAGGGGTGCGATCCCAGCCATCTGAGCAGTGCACTAGCACCGGCCGCTGATCACGATCCACAGCATGCACTACCAGGAGCGCCGACTTCAAAAGCACAGACAGGTGATGAAGCCATTTTGTGCTTTCAAGAGCTGAGAGCCAACTAAAATAAAAACAGAAGGTGATAAGGAAATGCTGACTCTTCTGATTTACTTTACTGCATCATGCCAAATACCTGTCAAATTAAAAAGCAATTCCTAAAGTGTTTTCCCTTCAAATAAAACACTGCCAAAACAAACAGAAAAGCTCCATCTTTATAAAATGCAGAGATTTCTGGTCAAGATGCAGTCACCGATGAACATGGCTTGCCTCCTCACACAACCGCAGCAAAAATGACAATTGAACTATAAAACAACTATTGCTTTAAATCATCAGAAAATTGAGCTGTGTGGAAGTCCAACAACCAAGGAATTAAAGAAGTCACACTTATTCTGATGTAGGAGGGGAGAAGATGAGGAATGGGTGTTCCTACACCCATGTGAGGTAGATAAAAACTAGGAGCGATATCTCAGGAGGAAGGGATCCCGGCCCCATACCAAGCCCCCCAGCCCAGGGTTCCAGTGCCAGGAAGGTAAGTCCCCATAACTTCTGGCTATAAAAACCAGTGGGGGTTGGGGCAGTAGAAGAAACTGCAAGATTCTCAGGCATCTCCTCTTAAACAGTCTGCAATGGACTTAGGACTTACACAGACTCCCTCCCTCTGGGCTCCAGCACTGGGGCAGCAGCTTGAAGGGCACCAGTGGCATATGGGGAGAAACTAAAGTTTCTGGCATCAGGGCAAATGCCAGGGAACAGCTTTCTCCTGGACAAAACTCCAGAGGCCAGGCAGCAGCCATTGTCCCTTTTCTGAGTCCTCCCCCACACAGAGCCAAAGAGTAGCAACACCACAGCAGAGACTCCATCAACCTGGTCCAAACAGTATGCCCCACCCAGGTGATTACCTAGGGCTCCACACCATCTAACCTACAGGTGCACTTTTCTACGTTAGGCCACACTACTAAGGGAATCAAAGCAGCACTACCTAAAACACAGAAACAAACACAGGGAGGCTGCCAAAATAAGGAGACAAAGAAACATGGCCCAAATAAAAGAACAGACAAAAAAACTCTAGAAAAAGAGCTAAATGAAATGGAGATAAGCAATCTATCAGATGCAGAATTCAAAACACTAGTTGTTAGAATGCTCAAGGATCTCATTGGGTATTTCAGTAGCATAAAAAAGACTCAGGCAGAAATAAAGGTTACACTAAGTGAAATAAAGAAAAATGTACAACAATGACGTGGATGAAGCTGAGAATCAAATCAATGACTTCGAACACAAGAAAGAAAAAGATGCAATCAACAGCAAGAAGAAAAAAAGAACAACAACAAAAAAACAAGGACAAGGTAAGAAACCTCTGGGACAACTTCAAATGTACCAGCATTCTCATTATAGGGGTCCTGGAAGGAGAAAAAAAAAGAACAAGAAATTGAAAGCTTATTTGAAAAAATAATGAAGGAAAATGTCCCTAATTTGGTGAATGAAAAAGACATACAAGTCCAAGAAGCATAGAGAATCCCAAACAAGATGAACACAAAGAAGACCACACCAAGACTAATCATAATTAAAATGCCAAAGGTTAAAGATAAAGAGAATCTTAAAAGCAGCAAGAGAAAAATCAGAGAGTTACCTACAAAGGAGTTCCCATAAGATTGCCAGCTGATTTCTCAAAAGAAACTTTGCAGACTAGAAGGAACTAGCAAGAAGTATTCAAAGTTATGAAAAGTAAGGACCTACAACCTAGATTACTTTATCCAGTAAAGCTATCATTTAGAATTGAAGGGCAGATAAAGTGCTTCAAAGTCAAAGTAAAGCTAAAGCAGTTCACCATCACCAAACCATAATTTTATGAAATGTTAAAGGGACTTATTTAAAAAAAAGATCAAAAGACCAACAATATTAAAATGGCAAGAAATTCACAATATCAACAACAATCTAAAAAACAAACTTGAGCACATAAGCAGAACAGAAACAAAATCACAGACATGGAGATCACTTGGATGGTTGCCAGTTGGAAAGGGGGAGTGGAAGAATAGGGGAAAATATGAAGGGATTACAAGTCCAAATTGGTAGGTATAGCATAGGCAGGGGATGTTAAGAACAGTATAGGAAATGGAGTAGCCAAAGAACTTATATGCATGACCCAAGGACTTGAACTAAGGCAGGGGGGATTGCTGGAGGGAATGGGGGGTACTGGGCAGAGGGGACAAAAGGGGAAAATTAGGACAACTGTAATAGCATAATCAATGAAATGTATTTTTAAAAATCACATACAAGGATGAGGCCCAAGCCTTACTATACAATAGAGGAGGGCCTTACAAACAGGACAGTCTTTAATAGGATCACTCTTTGTTCTAAAAATCATTTGGCTAATTTCCCCAGAGAACTAACATTTCATGTTTTTCAGTCCATGGTAGATATATATCTAGTTAAAAATAAAAAGTCATTCTTTCTGGAATCTTCTCTTAAAGAAAATGCAGCCACTTCTGAGATGTAAAACAGAAGATATTTGTATTTAATGGTCAGCAACTCTACCCAACAAGTTCTCAAAACAAAAACGTACAGAACACTCATGAATACAAATCTAGTTAGCTGGATGCCACATTCAAGAACGGTATAAATAGTATTGCCTGCTACCACACCCTAACACCTACCAATGCTTAGGTCCTGAATGTCTATTTGACTAAAACTGGATAGGCCCAAACTAATAGTTTCAACTCATGCAAATTAGTACACCAACGGCTACACAGTATTACTGAACTTAACAGAGACTGGATTCAGCAGGGATCTAGAAGACCCATTTTTCAAAAGGCCTTTAGGAAATAGAAATATCAGATCCCAAGAATTGCCCCTTGAGAACAATCACAAGCTAATCACACTTGTCTTTCAACTGTGTTGATAGTTTGTTTCTTATGCCCTGTCATAAATTCCATTCTCATCTGCTCCCCCACAAAAGCTCTCCTGATTTCTCCAAAATGCAACCAGATTTGTTTAAAAACAGTCTAGCCCTTTAAAGGCTGTTTCCAAGACTAGTTTAAAAGACTATTAAATCTTGGAGAATGGGTGTCAATTTTTGATGAAGTCCAAGGAGAAGGATTTTTCCAGGCAAACAGGCAAAAGGAATGTAATGCAGAGCACTGTTTTCCATGGAATGGCCTGTTCTACCGATCCGAATTCTAAATCTTCAGGTGGCAAACTGTATCTCAGGCACAGCTGAACCCCTACCCCTAGAGTACAGTGCCTAGCACAGAGTGAAGATTCCTAGTATTTAAACTGTGGGTAAAAATAAAATAAAATAAATCAACCTCAAGACTTTCTATCTCCTAATAGATAACCAAGAAATATTTTCTGCAAGTGGATCAATTTATTCTCATTCCTCGCAGTGTCCTGAAAGAAACTAAAAGGTAAGGTTTATGAGAACAAATACTAAATTATCTCCTGGCCCCTGGAGAAACAGTAAACAAAAACCGGTGTAAGGTTCTCCTGACCTGACTGAATTATTCACACATACCAGGTGGTGTTGCCCACGCCTAACAGGGAAGCTGTACTCTAAAATCTGCCAACCAAGGACGAGCTGAGAAACTCCACACTCCCCTACCCTACTCTAAAACCAGAGTCAAAATACACTGCACCCTAGTCCTCCACATCAACAAACAAGTGTTGGGAGGCATGTTTCCAGCTGGTGCCATCACTGCCATAGCTTCTTTTTTCCTCAAGGGAGGCTTTAGTACTGCGTTACGACGTGCTGCCAAAGATAGACAAAGCAGGAGGGGGACTTGGGAGGCTGGGTAAAAAAGGTGAAGGGATTAAGAAGTAAAAATTGGTGGTTACAAAATAGTCATGGGGATATAAAGTACAGCATATAGTCAATACAGTCAATAATAATGTAATAACTATGTGTGGTGCCAGGTGGGTACTGGAAATGTTGGGGGGAACACTATGAAGTATTCTAACTACTATGTTATATGCCTGAAAATAATACAAAATAATACTGAATGTAAACTGAAATTGAAAAATAAAACTAAAAAAAAAAGACAAAACATTACCTACTTCTTTAATAAAATTCCCCATTCATTTGGACCAGGTGACAACTAATTTTGACTGAGTTAAAAAATAGCTTTATAATTTTAATATCTGGAAGATATTAGAGGTCAGGTAGTGTTGATTCTATCCCTTTCGTTTTATAGATAGGAAAACAGATACTCATAGATTAAACCTCTTCGCCAAAGTCATACAGTCAATTAGTGGCAAATCTCCTGAGTCCTCCTTTCTATGCCCCACCTTTAGGGAAGAGCTTGCTACTATATAGTTCTGTAAATGTTTGGTAGAGGCAAGTTGCTAATCCCCAAAGCAGAACAGCAAATAATTTCTTCAGTCAGGCTTTTCCTCAAGGAAAAGTACTTTACCCTCTGGGCTAACTGAACTGTGATGAATTTAATCATTTGCTGCCAGGAGTTAGCACAAATGGTTCCGGCTGCCATTTGATTTAATAAATCAAGTAAAGAATGCTGCAAAGCCTGATGTGATCTTCAGATCTACTGAATAGAACCTGGGGAAACAGCTCCAGCTGTTTGTATTTGGGCTCCAGCACAAATACCAGCAAAATTTCTATTCTCTGACACCATTTCGGGCTTCTTAAAATAGTAAGCAGGGGCTTTTAAATATTTACCTGTCCGTATTTGTTTTACAGAGCATTCCTCCTAATTTATTCTGTATTCAAACAGTTCCCTTGGGAAGAGACGGTGTTATTTCACCCTCCTCACTGCAAATGCCAGCCATTAATTTTTAATAAGCAATAAAAATCAGGAATAACATTGCCAGCAATAAACTTTTTTAATAAATGAGAGGATAGTTTAGAAATCAGAAGCATATGTAAAAGGAACTGACCTAATGGCAAGTTTTTAGTTTAGCCCTTTTTAGATCATGGTAAGTAAATTTTGACTTTTCACAGTAAAATATCTCAGTTCACAGCAGGCAAGTCTCACTATTGGATGTCAGAAATGAAAGAATTCAATTACTTTAGGCCAAAAATAAAGTAAAAGAGAAGGAAGAAGTTCCAGGAAAAACAAGAAAGTAATGCTTCCATCTGAAGGCTGAGGTTTGTTATGTGCTGCACATTTTTAAACCTTTCAAAGGGCTAGATTTTAATCCCAGCTCATTTATGCTGCCATGGTCCTAACACAGAAAGGATATCCAGACACTGACAATAAAACCAAGTTTACCATGAAATTAAAAAAAAAAAACCTCTAAACTCATTTTTTTAAAAAAGCAATGCAAAATTAAAGCAAGGCCAAGGTCTTACTTTCCTGGATCTGGCATCTGTGTGCACAGCAACCTCAGAGACTGAAAACTCCTCCGAATTGAATGAATATTTGCCATCCCCATAAACACAACTTCACAGTTTGGGTAATACTCTGGAGAGAAAAACAACAAGCGAAACACAAATACATTAAATTTAAAGCCCACATGGCCAAATTTAAAGGCAGCAAAATGCCTATTAACAAACCTATTACAACTGCTAATGAAACTGCAGTTTTGATGTCTGTATTAGGCCAGTCCTTATGGGAAGAAAACAGTGCTGAAATTTGAGCTGTTTTAGCAAAAAGGAAGGTTAGATTTGTGAAGACATAAAATAGAAGCTGATACTTTAAAAAAATCTATATACTTCTGTCTCATCTCAGGTTTACTTCTTGGACGTTATCATTTTTTAAATTTTATTTAATTCTTATTGTATGTTTTCCATTACCTTTTAGTCCCCTTATACACCACACCCTTCCTCGCAGCATTCATTCACCCCCTAACCTACCTCCCACTAGCTGTCATCCTGCTTTCCATCTACGAGTCTGTCCTCATTTTCCTTGTTAGTTCAGTTTGTTCATTAGATTCCACATATGAGAGAGATCATATGATATTTGTCTTTCTCTGACTGGTTTATTTCACTGAGCATAATGTTCTCCAGGACCTTAGCTAACTTATAGCTCTGGGATCTCTTTGAAAAGAACTAGGAAGAACAATGCATTTCATACATTCAAATTTCACCTTGGTACCACTGCTTTTAATTTCTAGCTTAGATCACATGTGAATGAGGAGCTCAGTGCCTGTATCTGCTCCATCGGCACACAACTGGCATTGAAGGGGTCCTTCTTTGGAGAAACCTGCATTCAAACAGTAGGAATGTCACAAGTGAGGAGAGGGTACCCTGCTAGAGTTTTGTATTTACTGGTTTCCATGCCAGGTTTTCTAAGTAGAAGCCACATGAGGAGTTTTCTCTGAGACCAGTGATGAGCATACCCACTTGTCAAAGGCAATAAAAAGCTCTTAGAAGGCTGAGAAATTGAACCACTGAAGCAGCTTCCAAATATGAACAGACCTTATTATGGGAGAGGATTGACTTTCCTTATCACCTAAAGGTTGGCAAAGGGAAGGAGAATTATTTGGTTTCACTGCACCTCCTCCTCTGCTTCACCCCTGAAAAGAGTATAGTGTTAAGAAATCAAAGAGGCCCTGGCCAGTGTGGCTCAACTGGCTGGAGCATTGTCCCGTAAACCAAAGGGTCACAGGTTCAATTACATGCCTAGGTTGTGGGTCCAGTCCCCAGTCGGGATGTGAACAACAGGCAACCATTGAATGTTTCTCTCTCACATCAGTAGTTCTCTACCTCCCTCCCCCCACCTCTAAAATCAATAAGCATGTCCTCAGGTGAGGATTAAAAAGAATTCAAAGAGCTCTGTCTCTCTCAAGACAGCTGAGGAATATAGCTTGCCATTCATTTCATATTAAAAACTAAGATTCAGTTGGGCACAGAGATACAAATTTAGACATAGGAATTCACAAGGAACAAATGCTGGGGGACAAAGAACTGTACATCTCACCTGGGCATTCACAGCCTCCTCCTTTGGCTCGGTTCGCAACAGCTGCAGCATAGGAACGTGCATCCAAGATCAAAAGCTTCTGAGGTTGGATGGCTAAACTCTCTGCTCCTGAAGCATGTGACAGAGAAGAATCTAGGAACGTCAGGAGTGAGGAGGAAATACTAAGTGACCTGTCTCTCCCAGAATTGTACAAAATAAGAACCAGGGACACACATTACAGTACCAAAAAAAGAAAAAGTAAAATCCACCAAACTAGAACTCTTCATACATAAACTTATCTATTTTCTGTTTTGCCTACAATCTCCTATACCTTGTTTCTACATTGACAGTCCTTTCATGAAGCCTGGTGTTTCCCCATGGTCTGGAGACACTGGAGGTCCCCTATTACATATATACTACATTCTTGTCACTATGGCAAGAAAGACCAAAAACACTCTAATACTCTTAAACCAAGTTTTAAAAAAGGGATATTCTGGTTCATGGACAAGACCCATGACTCCCCAAGCAACCCCATCAATTAAAGCTTTGCTCTCTTTTTTATGATACAAATTCTGTCTTATAAGGAAAAGGCCATTTCAACAAAAGGTTCTCATATGCTATAAAAACTACTGCCATGGGTGTAGGAAGCACCTTACCAAATTCCACATCAGAAAGGTCTCCTGCATTGGGAAAATCTCGAGAACTATTTCTAGTTGACAGCTTGCTGCCACTTGATTGGGAGTCAGAGGCACAAGCTTTGGCTACTGACTGCACCAGGTGCTCATCATCAGCATTTCGCCAGCCCCACCAGCTGACCTCCGGCTGTCCACAGCGTGCAATGACAGCTCCATTGCTCTGGTGCCTGTGCAGGGAACAAGACACAATAATTGTACTGTCCCAAAGACCACATTCAGATGTTCTAAGCTCATACCAAAAGTCAATCAAAAATTTTAAACACCTTAATGAATAACCTGACTACAGGTAAGTGATGGGTTAGCTTTGAGTGCTCTCAGGGCAGAAGTCTTACACAGCAACAAGAATAAATAGCAAAACCTACCTGGACCTTTCTCAATTATCATACTATTTTAGAGATTTCTATAGTGTTACCAACAAAATGATTGAGTGTGTACTGTTAGAACACAAATCAATATTCATAAAGCAAATATCTGTATCTTTACATTTATTTTTGGAAAATGAAGTTAAAAATACTCTACAAATACTACACTAATTCTGCTAACCAATAATGAAGCATTACTCTTTCCTTTTTATACTACACCTGAATAGCCTCGCAGATGCCAAAACAAAAAATTTTATTTCCTCATAGACTTCTGAGGGCCCACCACAGCAACTGGCTGGCTTGGGGATTATTTTCAAAACAAAATCCCACCTTTGGGACTGAAACACTTATCTGACCCACAGTGAATTGGCTGACAAAATCTCCTGAGATTTCCCGAGTCACAAACTGCTCTTACTATAGGCAAATCAATGAGCCAGTTACCCGTCCTTAAGTTCTTAGAGGGAAAGGAACAGCATAAACCTCAGTAAACCATACT